CCTTTGAGGTTCATCACTCTAACAACTAATTCGTACTTCTTAATCTCTTTACCTTTTTGCCTATCCCCCAAACCCCCTCCCATCTGGCAACTAACATAATTTTTCTGTATCTATGTGTCTGTTTATGTTCTGCTTGTTCATTTTGTTTGTAGATTCAATTGTTGATAGATATGTATTTATTACCATTTTATTGTTCACATTTTTGTTCTTCATCTTCCAGAAGACCTTTCAACATTTCATATAATACTGGTTTAGTGGTGATGAACTCCTTTAGCTTTTTCTTGTCTGGGAAACTCTTTATATGTCCATCGATTCTAAATGATAGCTTTGCAGGATAGAGTAATCTTGGTTGTAGGTTCTTTCTTTTTATCACTTTGAATATGTCTTGCCACTCCCTTCTGGCCTGCAAAGTTTCTTTTCAGAAATCAGCTGATAGTCTTGTAGAAGCTCCCTTGTAGGTAACTAACTGCTTTTCTCTTGCTGCTTTTAAAATTCTCTCTTGGTCTTTAACCTTTTGCATTTTAATGATGATGTGTCTTGGTGTGGGCTTCTTTGGGTTCATCTTGTTTGGGATTCTCTGTACTTCCTGGACTTGTCTGTCTGTTTCTTTCACCAAGTTAGGGAAGTTTTCTGTCATTATTTTTTCAAATAGGTTTCCAATTTCTTGCTCTCTCTCTTCTCCTTGATGTGAAAGTTGGTACACTTCAAGTTGTCCTAGAGGCTCCTTACATTATCCTCGTTTATTTTTATTATTTTTTCTTTTTGATGTTCTGATTGGGTATTTTTTGCTTCTTTATATTCCAAATCAATGGTTTGCTTCTTGGCTTCACCTACTCTACTATTGATTCCCTGTAAATTATTCTTTATTTTAGTTAGTGCATCCTTCATTTTAGACTGGTTCTTTTTTATGCTCTTGAGGTCCTTACTAAGTTCCTTGATGTTCTCACAAAGTTCCTTGAAGTTCTCACTAAGTTCATCGTGCATTCTTATAACCAGTGTTTTGAACTCTGCATCTGTTAGATTGCTTATCTCCATTTCATTTAGTTCTTTTCCTAGAGTTTTGTTTCATTCTTTCATTTGGGACATGTTTCTTTGTCTTCTCATTTTGGCTGCCGTCCTGTGTTTGTTTCTATGTATTAAGTAGAGTTGTTATGTCTTCTAGGTTTGGTAGGGTGGCCTATTGTAGTAGGTATCCTGTGGGGTCCAGTGGCACAGTCTCCCTGATCACCCCAGCTGGGCCCTCGAGGTTCACCCCTCATGTAGACTCTACACCTTTCTGTTGTAATTGAGTCTTGATTGCTGTTGGCATGTCAATGGGAGGGATTCACTCAGGCTGATCAGCTGCAAGGACTGTCTGTGCCCACTGACCACCGACCTCTGACTACCTTGAGGATCAGCTGTGTAGAGGTCGCCACACAGAGCAAGACTTGCTTCAGCAGGGCTCTGGTACCCACTGAGTCCGCTCACTGAGTGTGTCACTTGTGGACGTGGTTGGGTGGTGGTGCGTCTATGTGGTCTGAAGCTGTCCACTGGGTGTGCTGGTTCTGGGGCAAGGTCAGCCACTGCCTGTGCTCTACCCAGGGCCACCAGGCACAAGCTACAAAGTGATCTGCAGATGGCTGCTTCTTGTGCTGGGTTTGGAGGTACCCAGGCAAAGCCAAGTTGTGAACCAAGGCTGGCTGCTTCTTGTGCTGGGCTTAGAGGTACCCAGGAAATGCCAAGTTGTGAACCAAGCCTGGCTGCTTCTAGTGCCAGGCCTGGGGCCACTTAGTGAGAGGTATGGGGCTCGCTGAGACCAGATGCTGCTTGTTTGAGAGAATTTAGGAAACTCTGAAGCAGGAACCAAGACAGGCCAATCCTATGATAAAGCCACTGGAAACAGCTTGGGTAGACACGAAAGTTGGGTGGGCGGGGCCTCAGGGAATCAGCAGGGCAGGGTAAACAATGTGAGCCAGGTTGCTGGAGTCCTGGATTTGGTGGCCGTCTGCCTGCCCTGTGGGGGAAGGGCTCACCCAAGGAACAACGGCCTCTGCCAGCACATCTGTCCAGGAGAAAGCTACCTCTCTAGCTCTTGCCCTGATACCAAACAACTCACTTCTTCCCTGTATGTCTCTGGTGCCTTTCAAGCTGCCTCCCCCAAGCTAGAGCCCAGAACGAGCGAGTCCAATAAGTCCTTCCTTTAAGAGAAACTGCCTGGGGCTCTAGAAGCCTCAGCTTCCCTCAGCCTCAGTTCCTGATGCTTTTTACAGCCAGAGTTATGGGGATTCTCTTCCTGGCACTGGATCCCTGAGCTGGGCACCTGGTGTGAGACGAGGACCCCACACTCCTCAGGGAGGACCTTCTCAGATGAGGTAGCCTTCCTAATTTTTTTAAAAAAATGTTTACCTTTATTAAGTTTTAGAGAGAGAAGAAGGAAGAGGGAGAGAGAGATAGAAACATCGATAAGAGAGACCATTGATTGGCCACCTCCTGCGTGCCCCCCACTGGGGATCAGGCTCACAACCTGGGCATGTGCCCTGACTGGGAATTGAACCCATGACCTCTTGGTGCATGGGTCGACACTCAACCAGTGAGCCACACTGGCTGGGCAGCCCTCTTGATTTTTATCTGCCACACGTGGGTGTGGGACTAGCCTGTCCGCCTCTGCCCTCCTACCAGTCTCTGTGTGGCTTCTTTAATCTCCTAGTTGCAGGACTTCCATTCAGCTCACTGTCAGGCTGTTCTGAGTGATGGTTGTTCTGAGGTTCAGTGTGATTCTGATGTGGTTGTGGGAGGAGGTGAGACCGCAGTTCCCTGTGCCACCACCTGGACTGCAAGTCCCCTGGTTCAGTCCTTAAGGGCCTTCCCGGGACTACAGGTTAAGCTGAAGCATTTTGAAACTTCACGATGCAAATTCTTTCCTGTTTGGCACCTTCTCTCAGGCCTGTCCCCAAGTACTCTCAGCCTTCCAGTTGACATTTTGGTGATAAGAAAATACAGTGATACCTCGGTTCTCGAACGCCTTGACTTTCGACCAAATCGGTATTCGACCAGGAGATTCGAGAAACTTTTGTCTTGGAATCCGAACAAATATTTGGAACTCGAACTTCCGAGATGAGCCGAGTTGAGCCGAATGGCGTTCATTCGGCCCAGCGCGCCTTGCTTGCGCCATCAGTGTGAGTGCAGAGAGAGAGTCACGCTTTGTGGAGAGAGTCAAGCTTTACACTGAATTTAAGCCTTAGACATGGGTCCAAAGAAAGCCAGAAGTGGTAATGCAGACAAAGGTAAGCGGAAAGCTGTGAGAACAACTATTGAGCTGAAGAAAGAAATCATTGCCAAATATGAACAGGGCACACGTGTTTCGGATCTGTCTGCAGAGTATGGCGTGCCAAAATCAACCATCTCTACTTTCCTTAAGAATAAAGCTGTTTTTCTACATATTATATACAAATTAGGCCAGTAAATAGGCATTTTCTGGGGCTTGGAACGAATTAATCCAGTTTCCATTATTTCCTATTGGTTTCATTGCTTCGGTTCTCGAACAATTCGGTTCTCGACCGTCCTCCTGGAACGAATTATGTTCGAGAACCGAAGCAATGAAACCAATAGGAAAGCGGACTCCACAAAGCGTGACTCTCTCTCTGCACTCACACTGATGACGCAAGCAAGGCGCGCTGGGCCGAATGAACGCCATTCGGCTCAACTCGGAAGTTCGAGTTCCAAATATTTGTTCGGATTCCGAGACAAAAGTTTCTCGAATCCTGATTTGGTCGAAAACCGAGGCGTTCGAGAACCGAGGTATCACTGTACCTGTCGCTCCCACTGACCTGTGCATCCAGATCTTTCCATATGCTTTCTCTGCTGATAAGAATATTCCCCCAGGGCTTCTTCGCTTAACCCACTTTCCAGTCTCCTGGCTACCTAACCCTACCACACCAAGCTAAAATCCCATTCACTCCTGTCACCCCAAAGGGCCTGTGTGTACCTCAATCCCAGCATTTCCGGCATTACTTTGGAAGACCAGGCCATGGGCTGGCTGCCCCGTAAACTACAGGTCACCTGTGTTGTTCCACCGACACTTGCGAGGGACGTGGTGTGTGTGGACTTACTGACCAAGTAGAACTTCTGCTGCAGTTTTCTGCTAATAGCAACCTTGAGCCACTTCTCAGGGAATTGAAACCCCAACTGAAGTCAAGAAACTTACAAATCAGTTGTTCTTAAAGTATTCATCTGCTTAAATAAGATGAATTTAATCCTTTCATTTTTCTTTTTAGTTTCTTGCCAGAAAACTGTCTGCAGAGATGTAGCCCAAGGGCACTTTCTTGGGTGCAGACCCCCTGCCACGGCCAAGTCCTCGCGTGGCCTGAAGCGAGATGGTGGCTGTTGGAGCCCAGACGGCGTTTGGCCCTGGGCCGAGAGGGTGAGTTTGCACCTTAGAGTCTGTGAGTGCGGCTGTCACAGATGATGCGACTCAGTTATTTCCCCAAATCAGTGTATGTAGATATTTTATGCTCCTCAGTGTTTTATATTCAGGATAGGAAGGTGTAAATAGAACCTTTATAAGTGCTATGCTAATGAAGAGAGGTTTGCACACGCAGAGTGAATGACAGCTAGATCACTGTGCACTGCGCTAATGCAGAGACAAGTCTGCATTTCCCGTGTCCCTCAGGCAGCAGTGACTGGTGCTCAGCACACCTGAACAGGCCACGTATTTGCTAGGAGTCCCTCTTCACTCGCCAATTTTAAATGAGAGGAAATCTAAGAAGCAAGGTGAAATTCGACTTTCCTCTTAATGATAGAATTATAGTTATATATAATCTGTGTGTTTGTTTTATATTCTGCACACTCTAAAACTACCTTAGGAGTGTGCCCGGCAGAGGATTACTGTATTTGAATTTTTTCAGAGCATTTCAATCATTCCAGAGGGGCAGCCTCAGAATGACGGGTGGGCATCAGAGGCGGGCGGCCAGCCTGCTGCTGCCGCTCGCTCTCCCGCGTCCACACCCGGCGAGAACCCTTACTTGGTGTGATGCGTGTCGATGGTGTGGAAGAGCTCACGCAGTTCTTCTCCACTCAGAACGCCGTCTGCAAAATATGCTTTGAATTCATCAAAGGACAGTTTCCCATCATCTGAAACAGTAAGAACAAACAGAAAGTCCTTTGAACGTTGCACATTGTTTTAGCTTTTAATTTTTAAAACTTTGCTCAAATGCTTGTGCAGGTTAGCTTTGCATACATATATTCAAAAAGGAAAAAATTCAAGACATTAAAAAGAAAAACAATTGTCTGCTGTTACATAGACTGAAGATGTCTACACTTTGATGAAACGTGTCCATAGCTGTGGGTATTTTTTTAACTCATGTGTCATATGACAAATACTTAACATTTAATAAGCATTTAAGCAGCTATACACAAAAGATAGCCACATGACCAAACAAAAGTCCAAGACAGAGTCAGTTATTTATGTCTTGCCCTCACACATAGGACCTGGAAACCTGCAGAATAAGTAGATGTTTCATAACTGTGCCCAGCAATCCCACTTCTGGGTATTTATCTGAAGAAACCCAAAACACTAATTTAAAAAGATACATGCACCCCTATGCTCACTGAAGCATTATTTATAACAGCCAAGATATGGAAGTAACCCAGATGTCCATTGAGGGACAAATGGATGAAGAAGAAGTGGTGCATATATAATGGAATATTACTTGGTCATGAAAAAGAATAAAATCTTACCATTTGTGATAACATGGATGAACCTAAAGGGTACTATACTCTAAAACAAGTCAGAGAAAGACAAATACCACCTGAAGTTCTGTTAAAATGCAGGTCCTGGGCTCTACCAGAGAGTCAGAAAATCACAGAGGGCACGGAGGGTGGGCAAACAAGGAATCAAGATTTTAAACAACTGGTTTGATTCCTCCATGCACTAATGCTTGAGAGGTATTACAACAAAGAATAAAGCAGGCCTAATCACTGAATTCCTCATTTCAGACAGGGATGTAAAAGCTGTAACATTTTTTTAAATCCTTATTTTCAAAATATAAATAGAAAGGTTCCAAAGAGTTTTTAGATTCCTTTTTGCATTTTAACTTAATAGTTGTATCAAAACCAATCTTCCAGTTACTTCTTGCCAACCGGGCGGACATCGTCCCAGGTGGTAAAGATGCTGATTGGGATGAAGCACAGAAATGGTCCCTCCCCAGTGATTCCCTGGACCAGCCCCACTCAGCCATTCAGACCCATGGCAACTGTGGAGTGATCCCATCAGGCTCATCAGTGACCTGATTGCGTGTTCCTGTTTTTGGATGAGCATGTTCCTGTCATGTCTCCAATGCCTATTTTAAACCTGAGTCTCATATAACCCACGACTAGACTGAGCAAGGTGTCTGCACTGTGCTCCTCCTTCCTTCAGCGAGAAATACATGGCCCGGTCGGGAGTCGGACAAAGACCAAGTCTAGGTACAGGTCAAAGAAAGAAAGGAGGAGACCTTTCGTCTACTTAGAAAAATGAAAGAAATAAAAGCAGAACCCCACTCTTCGATCCCAGCACGGTGACGTGGAACAGAGGTAACGCCACATGGGTACTGAGTGGTGCTCGGGAGCGGAGCGGGCCCTCACAGAACCGGCTGCCTGTGCAGCCTGTGGACACGGCGGCCTCGTCACTGATTTATGATTAAGGCAAGTAAGTAGTTCAGGCAAGGAAGCACAGACTATCAAAGAAAACTCTGGCCCAGCTGGTGTGGCTCAGTGGACTGAGCATCGTCCCATGGACTGAGAGGTCCTGGGTCAATTCCCGGTCAGGGCACATGCCCGGGCTGCAGGCTCGATCCCCAGCAGGGGACACGCATTGATGTTGATGTCTCCATTTCATCCATGTTTCTATCTCTCTCTCCCTCTCCTCTCTCTCTAAAAAAATCAGTAAAAGAAAGCTTTGAATAGCAAGTGTTCTGATGCTTCCATGGGAGCTGAAAGTCCTTTTTTCTTAATTCTTATTTTAAAAAAATATAAAAAGAAAAATGAGGCATTGGCTTACAGTCCTATTTGAAGGCTGGAAGGTGTGTCCTGGGAGCTGTTTTTACCCCTTGGAGGACTCCTGGCGTCTTCTGCTCAGGCCAGCGCAGGTCCAAACGTTTAAACGAGCAACGGCAAAGAGTTGCTTCGGAACATTTCTAATGGCTTACTGTTCAGCAAAGTATTACTTAAAAGATATTTTTAACCTTATTTAGTAGACACTCAACAAATGGAAGCTGTTGTTTCTCTAAAATTAATTTAAAGCAAAAAGGGAAGAGCCGGAGCCAGAACGCCCCCCTCCCCCCAGAGGCACCCACGCTGTCTTCCTGTCAAAGGTAAGGACCTGTGTCCACTTCTCAAGAGTGTGTGCAGCCGTGAACTGGCTCAAAACTCTTACTGGGACAAGGGACGGAAATTTTGTGTGTCAATTTCTTGAGTTTTCTCTCTTCCATCTTCTTTTTAATCCTCATCCAAGAATATGTTTTTATTGATTTTTTTTAAAGAGAGAGAAACATTAATGTGAGAGAGAAACATGGATTGGTTGCCTCCTGTATGCACCCTGACCAGGACTGAATCCATAACCTAGGCTTGTGCCCTGACTGGGAATTGAACCCGCCACCTCTTGGTATACATGATGATGCTCCAACCAACTGAGCACCAGGCCAGGGCCATATGATCTTTATAAGGTTATCTAGAAAGTAAGACGTTGATAAACAGAAAGTGTAGATTTTTGGTCTTACCATTTTTGTCTGCTCTTCTCAGTATCTGGAAAAGAAAAAAAAAACATTTTATCACCATTTTTTTGTAAGTGTTGCAGTAAACATTATACTCAAACATAATCCACCCATTATTAATAACTTAAATTTCAATTTTAAATAAAGGTTTCCCAATTGAGACCTGTCTTTATAATAGTCAAAAACGGAAGACACAGCAAGTGTCCACAAACCAGTGAGCACAAACAAGCGGTGAATCCACAGCACGGATCTGCTGGGCGTGGGCAGGGCCAAGCGTGGGCAGGGACAGGGTACCCAGTGATCGTCCCGAGCAGGAAACTGGACACAAACAAGTATCTGCATGGTACTTGGAAACAAGTGATTCCATTTCTGCACATTCTGGAAAATGCACACCAATCTACAGTAACAACACCGATCCGGGTTGTGGGGGCCTGGGGAACCTTTCTGGGGAGTGGTTACATGTCATCTTGATTGCAGGGATGGTTTCGTGGGTGCATACATATATACAAACTCATCCACTTTCATGTTAAATATCTGCAATTTAAAGCAAGTTGATTGTATCTCAATAGAACTGGGAATAAAAGGAAATGAGACAGAGAAAACTCCTGCAGGCAAACAGGAGTCGGGGTTTCTACCATGTTACTTTACTTCTGTACATTAATGGATTACCTGGAACCTATTTTGAATGGTTTCTGATGGATATCAACTGCTTGGTTATCAGTAGCTTTGGCAACGATGTCTAATTTTCTTCTGAGAAGCCAATCTCTCTGCCTCTCCTGGCCCATGAGCCCCAGGGCGAGGCCAGGATCCGCAGCCACAGTCCTGGGTGTCACAGGGACTACCCAGGCACGAGCACAGCCAGACCAGTGACACGGCCATAGGCTTGCTTGTGTTGTCAGGAGAGACTGTTTCTCTTCTGCTGACTGGAGGACTCAGGTAAGGAGCTGCGGTCAACCTTGTTACTGTCATGTTTTGTCACCCAAAACAAATGTTGACATCCTACCCCTGTCATTGTGAAGGTGGCTTTGTTTAGAAATAGTCACCAAATTAAGTCAAAGTCTCACTGCATTGGGGTAGGCCCTAAGTCCAGTGCCCAGAGAGAGAGGCTCGTAGACAGCACAGAGAAGGCCCTGAGACACTGGGACAGACACAGGGTGGCCAGCTGCAGCCAAAGAGGCCTGACGCCACCGCCACGCAGGGGGCACAGGGTCCCACCCAGAGCCACCCGGGGAGCATGGTCCCACCCACACCTCGTCGCACCCCTCTGTCTCCGGGACTGAGAGAATCCGTGTTGTTGTTTACATCACTGTGTGTGCAGGACGTTATGATGGCAGACCTAGGACACTGATATATAACCTGGGAATAACTGACATTCAAGAAATCGCTGTCCAGAGGCTGAGAAAGACAAGGCCCTAACAGTCCTCTGAGCCCCAATCAGCTATCCTGACAATACAATCCCACTACGTTATTATTTTATATCTTAAAAGTAATTTAGGTTATTTTTCTATTGGAAACAATCAAGTTAGCCCTAATGATACCATGCACTGATGGAAAAAGTCAGGACTTACAGCCCCAAAGAAGATGTCCTGTTATCACACTGCAGAGACACCGAGTCACCTGTCAGGGGTCCCCAAGGACCCTCTCCTGAGCCATGTTGGTTGGGGTCACGTATATTTACTCATCACTGTTTGCAGCCAGATGGAAACATGAGCAAGAGTTGTTAGGACCAAGGTTTTCTATTTTACTGGTTTCTACTGTAGAAACATTGTTCTTCTTTCCTTCTCTGGACGCCATGAAGAGGAGGAAAGGAAAGTCTAATCATCATTACCATGTATTTTCACCATAAAATACTATGATTATTACAAAAAACCTCACCTAGGAAAAATTTCCAACAACAGTTACATTTCCCTGGTGTGCATAGGAAGGTCCCTCTTTTGACACTAAATTATTGAATTATTGCAAGAGGGCTGCTTTCAATATCGAGAGCTTCTATTCTTAAGGCAGAATGAGACGCAAATGGTTTCTACTCCACAGAAATCTGAGGGAGCTTTTTGGAGATTTGAGACCCATCTCTCCCTCAGAACCAACTTCTTCCTCCCCTCTGAAACCAGGCAGCCCCAGCTGAGAGTCAGAGGTGCATGCAACGCAGCCTGTTTCTCCTTTGATAGACTTTGCAATTCTATTTCAAGCTCTAATGTGTCCTTATGAGTTGGAGTGACTAGAATAGGAATAACCGCACACTAGAGGCTTGGACCCAGGACGTCCATCACTTCATTCTGCCTCTCAGAGATGAAACCGAGACAGCAGCTTTTGTTATTAAGATAGTTCTTTGCAATTAAATGTGAGCAGAACTGCTTCTGCTGCAAATTTTCCCTCAGAGTAAACACAGAGAAATGCTGCTGGAGAGAAACCCGAGCATCACGCCAGGCTGCCATAGCGATCTGGCCCGGCCCTTCCCCGCCTGCCATCCAGGGCGACAGCAATTGGGTACAACTATGGTCAGGACTGAAGCGTAAAGGCAGGCAATGTTATGTTTTTGCAACAATTTGAGAATATTCTAATAGCATCCTTCCCCCCCCCCCCCCAAATATTCTTGGAATGGACTTGAATGAAATTCCTCTTTTCTCATGTGAAGTCATTAAAGGTGTTACAATGTATATGTCATCTTGGAGGCTTAAAAAATGGATGCAGTCACCATTGACTGAACTAGTGTTTTCTCAGGCCTCCCACCATGCACCACCAGGTAAGAATCAAATGATGAGATGGACTCATCGGTCTCTTCGCAAACTCCTGAGACCCTGGGACAGAGAACAGGGATCTGGAGCTCATCCAGAGCATGAGTGGGCCTGACATCCCACAGCTAGCTCTCTACCCGGCGACTGGTCACCCTGAGGTAGGAGGCAGGGAGGCAGGCATGGAAAAATGATGGACAACAAGCAAGCAGCCTACATTTCTTGTCTTCCCAGTTCTGCCTTTTTGGGGGGAACACTTTTCAATGTACAGCAGTAAGACTAAGTTTTCTGTATTTCTGCTGGTTCCTGAGGCTGGTAGAGTGACATCTACATGCCAATTAGGATAGACGAGTGAGACGAGAATCATCCACAGCGCACTGGGCAAGCGAGGAGCCTGCGGCGGTGACAGAATTCAGTCGCAGAACCTCTGACTACACCCTGTCCATCTCTCTGCTCCAAGGGCTCCGGAGGAGGTGTCTCTGCAAGGAGAAAGCCCTGCTCATCACCACCAGGTCCCTGAGCGCCAGGCACCGTGCCTTTGGCTCAGGGTGTGCCTGGTGTGCATGCTTGTTTGCAGGGAGGGGGGACAGACAGTGACGTCATCTCTCTCCTTCGTTTACTGCTTCTCTTCCAATTACAAATCACAGGAAATCTTGGTATTCAGGAGGTGACGCTGCCGCTAACTTCATCGGGGACCCATCTTGTTTTGGGGGATGAGCTGAAGGTTTGTTTTTCTCCCTTGCCCAGAAGTAGAGTTGATTAATGAAACAAAAGAGGCCCAGATGCTATACAAACAAGCATTTTAAATTGGAGTTTATTCTGTCACCTGGAACACAGCAACCTGTGAAAGGATAGGACTCTGGAGAACAGGAAAATAACATCTCCTGGTCCTCCTGTGTTGCCACACCTGGGTCAGGCCAGCCCCTTTCCTGGGCTGGCAAGTGTGCCCACAGGTGCGCCTGGCAAATGCAGCCTTAGGCCGTGCTCTTGGGGTGGGACCGGCCCTGGGTTCTTAAACTCCCACTAGGTAACCAAGAGTCCTTATGGTGAAGCGATACTTTTGTTGTTGTTGTTGCTTGTTAATCCTCACCCAAGGATATCTTTCTATTGATTTTTAGATAGAGGGAAAGGGAGGGAGGGAGGATGGGAGGGAGGGAGAGAGAGAGGGAACCACCAAGGTGAGAGAGACACGTGGATTGGCTGCCTCCCGCGTGACCCTGACCAGGGCTGGTAACTGAACCTGCAACTCAGGTACACAACACTTATCTGGGAAATCAAACCTGAGACCCTTCAGTCCTCAGGACGACACGCAAACCACTCAGCCAAACAGGCCAGGGCACGGTGAACTGAGACTTAATGCTGCAGTTTCTAGAAAGAAAGTCATTCACATTAGATGTATAAATAGTCCCTGTATCCGTTTGTGGACGTGGCTACTCTTATTCATGCATTCAACCTGGAACACTGATGTAACAACAGTAGTTCAAGTTTATAGAGTCCATTTCTTTTCCTCATTTTTCTATCCTATGACTCTCATTTCTACAGTAACCTTTAGAATCAAGTATGGGACTCGTCATTATTGCTGATAGGAGGAGAACAGCAAGGCCAGCAGCTGTGGCCAGTCTCTCTGATTTTCCCGTCTAAGGTCCATCTCCAACCAGCTGGACAGGTCTAGTCACATCATTAATAGTATCCCAAAAGCAGTTTAAATATTTCTTAGAGGACTGATTATTCCAGTGGCATTGGGACATAAACACTGGAAATCAAAGTTTGCCTTCGATCTGGAAATTACTCTGTGACGCAGAAGCCTCTAACTGGCTTCGTTCCTGTTCCTCTTCGGAACAGAGAATTTCTGCCACCTACTTATTATAATCGGAATATTTATTCAAAAAGCAATCTTTCTTAGCAGTGCTACTAGAATACATTAAAACTAATTAAGTAAAATGATGTATTTATAGTTCACAATTTATTTTTTGCTAATAAGAATATGATCCAGGAATGAATAATTCAAAAATCCCTAACTAACAAATTGCATGTCAGATGCGTATTGTACCAGATCAGATTTTTCACAAAATAACTCGAAGAAGAGTGAAAACAAATCTTTTCCATCCAAGATAAAGTGCAGTGGCAGTTTTAGTTGTTGTTTTGACACTCTCGCATTTGACTGGCAAACAAGCATGTCGACACCCCACATGTAAGATCAGTTTTAGGTTTCCATTGTTAAATTTTTGAGATAGATGCAAGACAAGGCTGTCCTCTGCAGAGACCTCAAGTTCCTTCAGGACAAGAACCTGAGGCTGTTTGTTTATGGAACCTGGGGACTGTCATGCATATAGTCATGAATGAGATTTTAATTTCCTCTTGTTTCCTTTTTTTAAGTAGCTGGGCCAAGGCTGCTGCGTGTGTCAGGGCATGACTTCCCACTGCTACAGCTTTGATCTGTTCATCTCCACAGCATCACCAGGACCTGTTAACTGCTGTAAGAGAGTCATAGGGTAGCACCTGGCATCCTTGGAGGACGGAGTGAGAATAGGTCCGAATGAATGCAGGGCCATTGTGCCCTCTCTGAATGAATCCCATGCAGCTTTGCCAGCAACTGCATGACCACCCTGATTTTCAGGGGCCCTGGCTCTGCACCTGGAGGATTTCCTTCTCAAGTGTGCCCTGTGCTTCCCCCTCTCCCAGCTCAGCTTCTCAGGGGCATTTGGCTCCGAACAGCAGGACTTAAAGGCATAACATCAGCCGGGTGAGCTCTTAGCACGCAACACGCAATAACATCCTGACTGACCCAGGCCGAGCAGGGCTGAGTGCTGTGAAGAGTAAGGTCCTCACCGTCCTGAGTAAAGGGTGAGACTCAGATGCCCATGTTCTGGTGGGAAGAAGCCACCTTGGACACCCGGACTCCCGGCTAGAACTACTGGCGAGGAGGGGAGATGCCTGCCCCTGGGGACCTCACCCATGCCGTCTGCCTCAGACCAGGATCGATTATTCACAGGGTCCCATTAAAAAATTCTAGCTGAGTCCTGCTATTGAGCACTGTCCTGTGCACCAAAAAGTTGTGGGTTTGATTCTCGGTCAGGGCACTTATCTAGGCTTTGGGTTTGACACCTAGGTTGTAGGTCGGGGCACGTAAGAGGCAACAGATGGATGGTTCTCTTTCATATGATGTTTCTCTCTCCCCCTTCCTCTCTCTAAAATCAATAAAAGGATATTCTCCAGTGAGGATTAAAAAAGAAAATTTCAGCTGATCCATCACAATGCACTTGGAGGGCTCCTCCCCCTCCTTTATCTCCGTTATCTCTGCCTCATTCTTTGCTACTAACTACTCCATGTCCTTCTACTTTCATCTCTACAAGTAAGTGTGCTTGGCCTCAGGCCCCTGGTCTGATGCTAATGAGAACAACTGGGCAGAGGGGGGAGGACAGCTCCAAGCTCTGCTCAGGGTTGTTTGCTCGTTTTCCATCTGCCTAAGCAGCCAGAATCTCCCCCACAGAGCCAGAGAGGACCTGGGGGACCGCAGGGCTGTGACAGCCCAGGGGTTTGGAAATCCAGGGCCCTCAAGGCAGAGAAAAGAGCTGGCAACTGGGTGGAGAAAATAAAGAGCAAGAACAGCAGGGAGAGTGAAGCAAAACTGAGAATAAATGAGAAAAAAGTCCTCTAGAGGCAGAAACCACAGTGTGAGGACAGAAAAGGAGCAGAGGAAGGGAAAGAAGGAGAGAGGGAGTGATCCTCAGAGAACGAGGGGCGCAGGGCAGGACCAGAGGGGACTGTCGGATGCAGAGCCCGTGGCAGTCGCCCTGGGAGAGGCCTGGGAGGAGGGAAACAGGAAAAAAAGGGAAAAGAGGAGGTGGCATCGAAAGACTCATCACGAGGGAGATTAGCTGGCACTGTAAAAAGAAAAATGTGTTTCTAAAGCAGTTGTTTCCCGAGGCTGCGGAGAGGCACCGCACCCGCCCGGGCCACCTTAGGGCCGGGCACCTGGAGTCCTGTCCCCGCCGAGCCCAGGCTGCTGGGACACTCAGCTCCCGCGGCAGACCCGGCGATCAGCCCCGTGCGGGGATCCCCACCCTCCGTCCTCCCTCCGCACTTACGTCCAGGAAGATGGACATGCCCTTGGACAGCTTCAGGTTGGAACTCAGCTCCTCTGAGGAGTCGCTGGAGGACGGCGGGGTCCCCCTGGCTTCCTCCGCGGTCCCCTGGGCGTCCTCCATCCTCGGAGCCCCGACTGCCGAGCGCTTCCCGGGCGGGCGCCTGGGCTCCTGCCTGGCTGGCGTCTCTCCGCTCGCTCGTGTCCCCGCCCTCGGCCCTGCTCCCACGCGCTCTGGCGGGGCCGCCTCCCTCTCCTCCCAGCGCGGCCCCCTCCTGTTTCTCTCCGGCGGAGGCCCCCTCCCTGTCTTTCTGACTCCTGTTCCCCTCCAGGTCTCTCTCTGGCTCCGGGTCTCCCTCCCAGTCTGCGGCCCCTGGGCGCTCTGACCCAGGATGGTCTCATCCCAGCGCCGCGCCCTCCTGGGAGCGCATCCGACCCACGTGGCCAAGGCCCCAGCCCCAGATGACCTCGGGGCTGACCACCCACGAAGGCCCCACGTACCAGGAGGGAGGCAGCAGCCCAGACAGAGGGGGACAGATAGAAGGGTTTTGTCCTGAGCAACCGAAGCGCCCAGTAAGGATGCCCCCAGTTTACCCCGCGGTGGAAACCCAGTGAGTGCAGAGGGATTCCGAGACGTTTTGCCAGCTTGGCTTTTGGTCCAGGGGACCTGACTGCCCATTCTCCCCAAACGCGAGGTGGTTATGGCCAGTGCCAGCTAGTGGGGGCTGGGTTGGCTAGGACTCCTGCAGGCGGGGATCGGAAGGCTACCCGTACTTTGTTGTTTTGCAAGTCAGGAAATTGGTAAGCCTCAGTTTTCCTCATCAGCAAAATGGTGACAAGGCTGGTGCTTATCTCAAAGGGTCTTGGGCTTATGTGATGCCCTCCACCAGGTCCCGCCGTGGAGTCTGCAGAGGAAGGTCACTCTCTCTGGGGCTGGGAAGATGGTCAGGTGATGTTCTGGCAGAGGTTCTGCAAAGTTGAGGTCACAATGGAAGATGCAGCACCCACCTGTGCTTACAGATTTAACTAGGGTAATTATTCCATATTCAAGGGCTTCTGTGGGGCTGCAAAAACCATCTCTCCTTTCATCGAGGGAAATAACCACCGTTTACTCATCTGAGACGTGCACACCCATGTCCACAGCTTCACAGGCGCGCTGCCTGGGAGCCAGAGGAGCCGGGAGTCGTGCCTGTGAGGACGGCCGCGGGGGGTCTGGATCTCACAGGAGAGCGTGTTCTTTCTATGCGACAGGTCCACAAATAACCACAGCACTGGACAAATGCGAGTACCTGAAGGCACAGACACCAGGCTGTGCTTTTCTTCGGAGGCACAGTTTGTGATCTGATGACCACAAAAGGCTTGATACAAAAGGTGGCAGATGCGACCCTGCGCCTGAACATCCGGACAGTGACAGCCTCTGACATTTTGCACCCAAGCTGTCTCACCCCCTCACCAAGTCCCAGCCCTGTGCTGCTGATGAGTGTTTGCAAAAAATGGGTCCAGAGGCTCTCAGCTCTGTTCCGATGCTGGAATTACCAGAGGTATGTGGCAATGCCGTGTGTCTTCTGAGCCTCGCTGTGCAAAAGCCTCACAGTCCCACCTCGCCCCCTGGAGTGTTTGCTCCTGGAGCTTTGGGCTTCCTGTGGGAAATCTGACGCGCTCAAGGCGCCAGGCTGGGAGGAAGCCCCGGCCGCATGGAGGAGCATGTGTAGGTATCTGGCTGACGGTAGAGGTGAGCCCAGCTGGAGTCATCCAAGTGGCAGAAATGTGAATAATTATTCAAATTCTCTGTGTCATCCCAGCACCTGGCCATCTGAGACACACCTAGTCATTTGTGTTGCTTTAGCCAAGAGCCCAAACTTCAGAGACAGCATCAGAACTGCCCCCTTGTGGATCCCAGAAGCACAGACCTTGTGGTTTGTTTTATAACAATCGATAACCACCAAAACAGGCAGCTGGTGTCCAGTTAGCATGCACTGGGCCCTGGACATGGCGTTTATCAGAGAGCTTCTCAGGTCATTTTGCTGTGCAGCCAGGAAGGAGAACCTGCAGACTTCTCTGTCCTGTGTACCCGGGGAAACAGTAGAATGCACTGTTCGAAGACAGGCAGAGGCCCCGTGAGGGCGTGGGGAGGCAGGGACGCAGGACTCTCAGGGCAGGTACGGATTGGGCTGCACTGCAGAAATATCAGTCTGCCAGCTTTCTGTGCTCTTACGTGATTAACTGCAAATCTCATTATCTGAACAGCCAGGATAGGCCCTTCCCTTGGACAACTGCTCATCAAAGTACAAAAGCACTAAAAAGCAGACTGGCCAACTCATCTAATGGATGCTGATCATTCAGTCACTGAAGAAGAAAAACCAGAAAGAGGAGGAGGGAGCTCTGACCCCGAACACCAAGGTACCCAGTTTAGGAAATACAATATTACTCCTTCTTGCCATTGGATGGCGAACAGAATAGACTTTTCTACAAGTGCAGGGTGAGTCAAGCCCCCGGAACCCCAGCGGTGGGTCTCTCAGCTCTTAAACTGTGCCCTGCACGTGGTAACACTTTCATGCCAGTCTCCCAGCCACAAGAGCAGGTGGTAATTATGAATGAAGAACAGGAAGACAACCAGCAGCCACCATTCAAAACCAGGGAGCTACTTTAACACTTTGGTCAAAATGTTCCTTCTACCTTTGCTGACACGATATGTTCTGTACCTGTGGCTCTGATAGTCTGTCAAGAAGAAATATCAGTTATTCAACATCCACCTGGTCATTATCCACCCCGCCCCCTACACACACACACACACACGATTTCAGCATGGACACCACGATGCTGTAGGTGACTTCTCCAATGTAATGTGTGTTGAGAAATAAATGGCAGTCCGATTCTCATGCACAGCCAGATTCAATCGGCTCTACAAGGCGGTAGGCAAACACATTCTGGGTTTTCTCTCTATGCAGACAGTGTGCACTGTGGAGACTGTTTTACACATCATCTTCCTGAGCACAGACTCCTCGCTGCTCTAGGTAGCATCCGTCACACACAGGAGACAGCTGGCCAGGGAGCAAGTATATGTTCCCCCTAGGATCCTGGAGAAAACAAAAGAAATAAATACAATGATAGATTCCAGCTCTCAGGTTTCTTATGATAAGATTTCGATATGAAGGTATTTCTAGCATTTCAGGAAATGATAGCTGTGTGGGAATATATTGTATTTCAATCCATCTCTGCTTCATGGAGGAACTGTTGTGGAAACCATTTCAGACAGCCAGGAGTCTGTCTTATTTATATTTTTAAAATTCTGCAGAAGATTATCCTTTGGAGCCATGACTCACAATCCTTTAGTGGACTTTTTCGTTGCTTCGGCAACCCAAGATCCAAACCTTCTTCCTCTTCAGGGACCTGTCCCATGGTGGGAGTACAGGGCAGGGTGTGCCTCTTCTGAGGAGGGAAGACGTCCTGCCCCCATCCCCTCTGGCTGGAGCAGAGACCCATCTAGACTTGGCTGATAGGATGCTTTGCTGGCAAGTTGACATCTGGATCAAGATACTTGGAGGGACGTTTATTGATTTAATATGTTTTTATTGATTTTTTAAAGAGAGAGGAAGGGAGAGAGAGAAACATTGATGTAAGAGAGAAACATCGATCAGCCACCTCCTGCATGCCCCGTACTGGGGATCAAGCCCACAATCTGGGCATGTGCCCTGACCAGGAATCAAACCGGAACCTCTCAGTCCACAGGACGACGCTCAACCACGGAGCCACACGGGCCAGGCGAGGAGGGACCTTTATTAATGGCAGAGGGCAGAAGCAGCATGCTGCCGAGTGGCCATGATGACAGTCAGCCCCAAAGACAACAAAACAATTTGATAGGGCACTTTGGCCATGATTTTGGCAGCCTTGTTCCTAACTCAGTCTCCAGCTTCCTATCCACTTCCTGAGCTGCTATCTTTGCAAAATTTTCTCCTATTTTACCTTACTTGGTGTGTGTGTTAACATTTTAAGTTCTCCCCTCTCAGCAAACTGCGATTATGTACACAATGTTGTCAACGACAGTCACCATGTTTCACATCAGCCCTCAGACCTCATTCATCTCTAGTTGGAGGTCTGTCCCTTTCCCAGCCTCTCCGCGCCCCACCCCCACCCAGGCAACCACTTTTCTGCTTTCTGTTTCCATGAGCTCAACATTTTTAAAGAAGATTCTATGTATAAATGACACCATGCAGAATGTGCCTCTCCGTCTGGTCTGTTTCGCTCAGTGCGGTGCCCTAAGGTGAGTATTATTCTGTGATGTATATACTCCACGTCTTCCTCATCCATCCATCCAGGTGAACGCTCGGGTTGTTGTCATGTGTTGGCTGCCGTGGATCACGCTGCAAAAATGTGGGGTGCAGGCACATCTTCATCGTCCTGGTTTCAATTCCTTCAGATAAATACCCAAAAATGGGATAGCTGGATTGTAAACAGTTCTATTTTGTTTTAAAGAATAGTTCATTAATTTTTAGGGAGAGAGACATCGAAGTGAGAGAGCAACAGCGATCGGCGGCCTCCTGCATGCCCCCATCCGGGATCGAGCCTGAAACCTGGGCATGTGCCCTGAGTGGGAATCAAACTGGCAACCGTTTGATGCATGGGAGACCTCCCAGCCAACAAAGCCACCTTGGCCAGGGCTAAACAGTTCTATTTTCAATGTTTGCGGAACCTCTGTTCTGTTTTTCCTAGTGGCTGGACTATGGAAGAGTTAGTTAGAAAACCCTGAAAAGTTAGTAAGGCTTAGTTTTTGATGCTTGAGCTCTGACTGATAAATTCTATCTAAATCTATTAGAGAGTCATTGGTTAAGTCACTGTGGAAAACACTGGTTAAAGAAATAATTGTATCAAATGCCTGCTGAGCGTCTGCTTCATGCCGAACAACTGGCGGGCACAGCTGGCTGGCCCTCGCAGAACGTGTGTGGCACAAGAGACACTATTTTAACCCATGATTTTGATGCAGGGAGACAGGTCCCCCAGAGGTTTGTGGGGACTGTGGAGGGACCTAGCTCTCATTAGTGCCCATTCTAATGGACCATTTACAACCCTTCGGGTAATTGTTGGTGGCAAAATTAGGACTCATGAGTACTAGGTGCCATGGCACAA